TATTTCGTGTGTACGGTTTGTGTATCCTACTCCGCAGTTTGGATTCTTCTATTAGACGCGACCAGCGAGATCAACCCCGCGGTTCGCGTTTTCGATCAGATTATTACTCCCTTACCCCTCTGTTTGACCTTCCCCCGCTCGAGCCCTATGTAACTCCTCACTCAACTCTCTCCCTTGATTGCTCCTATCTAGTTCACTTGTCTCTTGCTCCTACCTCAGATCCTTGGTAACCTTGTTTTGTAAGTATTTTCAATGGAATGTGGTGTATATGCAATTTATGACAGTTTTTATCGATGAAATGGTTTCTTTATGTGATTTTCTGTTGAAATGACTTTCTTTACGAGATTCTCGATCTTTTGAATAATTTGTAGATTGGAATAGAACTTGGTATATATGAGTTGGTTCAATGCCTTCGTCTTTTTTTATTATAACTGATTGCTCCAACTGGTTGTGTTGGTCCTAAGGGTGTTGGTTGTGGGTGATTTGCTTGATGGTTGTGTGTGTTGGCAATGGCTGTGAGTGAATAGTATGCGTTGATATGATCTCTTCATCACGCTCATAGTGTGAAACATTGCATGATGTGAAACATTGCATCAAATAATTATGGTAAAGAGAAATAATTTTCATACACAGAAACATCATGCTATGAAACTTTGCATGAAATAACATTAGCTAATCTGGTAAAGAGAATATTATGCATTAATAGCCCTTCGCTATACTATGTAAAATCCAATAAGGAATGCCTCATAGTTACTCTTTCAATGAACATTATTGTCATGACCACAATCATCATTGCTAGGAGACAAATAAAATAAGATTGCTTCATCATGCTTATGCAAACCAAATTTCAAAAATTATGGTAATGTGAATTATTTTCACTTTACAGAAACTTCATTGTGTGCATCATTGCATTAAAAAGCATCAGGAAATCTGTTAAACAGAATAATATGCATTGAAAGGACTCAACTATACTTTGTAATATATTGTAAGAAATGCCTCAAAGTTTCTTTTGTTATGATCACTGATTAATATCACTGATAGGAGACAAATATAACGGGTTTGCTTCATCATGTTCATGTAAACCCAGTTTCAAAAAATAATGAAAAAAAGATATTCTTCGAGAGAATAGTATGCATTGATAGGGTCACTTCATCATGCTCATGCAAGCCCAATTTCAAAATATTATGGTAAAGAGAAATTATTTTCACACACAACAACTTCATGGTGTGAGGCATTGCATGAAATTGCATCAGGAAATAAGTTAAATACATTAGCATGCAATCGTAGCTTTATCAAAGTTGACTTTGTAAAATTAGGTAAGAAATGCCAAAGTTGACTTTTCATTACTTCATCATTGCTATGATTACTTAATGAACTACATAGTCATTATGGACTCCACAATTCCTCAAGAAAATCAGATAGAGAGGTGTAAGCAATAACCCATGAAGTTTTATCTCATAATGAATCAATTAGAGGAGCGATGGAGAGATTATAGCATTTATCAAAGAAAATAAACTTGTATTTTTCAATGGGTTTGAAAGCTCTTATCAGTTTGTCGGTAAAGATAATTAAGCCAAATGATTCAACATTCAAGACGACTCAAACAAAAATTGTAGATGACCAGCGTTATATGTCATTCTTTAAGGTAATTCTTTTTAACACATTACCTTAAGACATTGAAATGAGTTACATGGAAATCATAGCTTTAACTGATCTGACAGAACTGTGTTGGAGAGATTGATGGAACACACATGGATGCAAGAGTATCTAACACTAAAAAGGTTGCATATATTGGACGATGTAGATCACCCACACAAAATGTGATAGTCGTATGTGACTTTAACATTTGTTTTACTTTTATGATAGCTGGTTGGGAAGACAGTTCCCATGATAGTCGTATTTTTTGTTTATGCGACAAGAAACCGAGGACACAGCTTCCTCACCCACCTCTAGGTTCGTTAAGCCATATATCATATTCATTTTTTTAAATATTTTATTACTAATTATGGTTTTTTAGCCAGGGAAATATTACTTGGTCGATGTTGGATATATCTTACAAAGGCGGTATCTGAAGCCATTTCCAAAAATGAAATATCACATTCCAGATTTTGAGAGATCCAGCAATGATCCTCGTGGCAGGAAGGAAATTTTTAATAAAAGACACTCTTCCTTACGCGACGTAACGGAAAGAACGTTTGGAGAGTGGAAGAAGAAATGGGTCATGCTGCATAATATGCTGACATAACCATTTTCAAAATAACTGCAAATTGTAGTAGCCATGATGGCGCTCCACAACTACATTCGACGACATCATTATAGGTCGGATGTAGACTTCCTGCCTGAAGCATTTGAATTTCACTTAGGACAATCTATACCACAACCAAAAGTGGAATCATAAGAAGCTTACACCTAAGATGGCAAAGGTGTCACAAAAATGGTTGAATTGAGAGATTGGATAGCGAGTGCTATTGTTCGATGTCGACCGAACATTTCTTGTTTATTTCATAAACTCTATGTTTATTTTATATCACTTGTAAAATGGATATTTTTCATTTTACAATTTTTATGTGTTTGACATTGTTTATTTTCCATTTAAGTTTTTTTTTTTTTTTTTTTTTTTTTTTTTGTGGGCTTGTGAAGTTCATGATGTGACTTTTGACTTTGTTGGTTCTTTTGGATGACCTGTTGGCCGTCGTTGATTAATGTTACATGTGAAATCCTACTAAATACAACCAAGTTACTCTCTTTTTTTTTGTACATTGGTTTATGAGGTTCTCTTGGATGACATTTTTTTAGTGATATGCACGTGTGACACAATGAGGTTGGTTTTACGTGGGTTAAAGACAACCAAAAACTCATTTCCTTACAAGGTCTACGGTCTTCTTGTAGTGACAGATTCGTTGGTTAGTATACCGAGTTTTCTAAGACCACACGTTAGCAAAAAAAAAATGTAATTTATTATTTCTTTCAGTAAGTTCAACTCTGTTATGACTAATGAATGGTCTTTTTAATCATTTTGGAAAGATAAGCTCCAGGATTTCAAGGACCTCCCAACGAGTGTTTTGTCACAATGAACTATAGACTCCCCTACTGACGTCACATTGGGCACATAGCTGCTGGTGAAAGTTCTACAGGCGCTTGCAGTGGGCAAACGATCCAGAGGTGTAATTTCTTCTGGTGGCCAGACAGTCCCACAGATTCCACTATCGATAGTGATCAGAGTTAGATGGCATCCCTGGAAGATGACGTAGCTCATAATACGCCATTTGGATTTAAAATTAATATTATCATATTCTTAAATATAATTTTTATACCTTTTTTTTTCTTTTTTTGGTACACTTGATACTCATTGTTATGTGAGGTGTATATATTATTTTTTCTGTTGTTCTGAAGTGATTTGTTGCTTCTTCAGTATCAAATATGTTGTTATCACAGTTCTGTTGCAAATATCATAACTGCACAGGAGCAGAATGATAATTTATCCACAATCAGGTGTAAATCTGATATTTTCCAACAACATAAACCAAACAACGTGTTCTACTCACGAAGCATGTGAATGAGCTGGTACGTTTCAATCCAAGCAGAAAGTGTTTTCACCATATTGAGATTGTACCAATTGTAATTTATGGCCGTCAATTTCTTCTTTTACTTAGAATGCGATGAATTATGAATCAATGTAGATAATCATATTTCGTACTTCACAATCAATTATGAGTTTTAATCTGGTGACGAGGGCTTCATACTCGACAACATTATTGGTGGTTGGAATTTCAAGCGAAACCCGTACTCCAAGTAGTCCTGCTTTGAGGAGATAAGCAATATTCTAGCACTAGCTTCAGAGCTTTCGGATGTTCTGTTAACATATAGTGTCCACCAAGGTGATAGTGGAGGGGAAAGAGGCGGCTAATTAGAAGCACCATTGTACACAAAGTCGGCTAACACTTATAACAAGCTGTTCGGTTGTGGTAGACAACGGATGTCAGATTCCCAAATCTACCGACGACTTGACTAATTTTCACAGTGTTTCTGGTTTTTGCACAAGAGTCTTCAAAGAGAGTTGTGTGTAAAAAATGACAGTATGGGCTTGGACATACAGAAGTAGTCTCCTTGCAAAGAATACTAAAGCCAACGTAGTCTTGTCCGCCAACGGGAAGCAACTTTCTATTTCTAAGATAATCTTGCAGACGTAATAGACTGACCTTTTGACCGAGTTCTCGACCTTGACCAAGACAAATCTTATCACATAAGGTGAAATAACTAGGTAAATATACAACATCGCTCATTGAATAGGCTTTGAAAGAAGCGGCGGTGAAGTTAGATATGCCTTAAGTTGCTCGAAAGAGAATTGGTATTCTTCTGTCCACTAAAACTAACATTTCAAACACTTTAAGTATTTTGAAGAACGACAGATACTTATCTCTAAAACGAGCCAAGAAGCGAGATAGGGCGACTATACGATCGTTCAAGCACTGCATCTTCTTAATGTTCCTTCGGGTCACCATTTCTATCAACACTTTGTTTTTTTTTTTTTATATTTGCCTCAATTCCACGATGAATAACTATGAACTCCATGAACTACTACGTTGTAACTCCGAAGGCACATTTAGTCGAGTTGAGGCGCATGCCTCTATTCCACGATCCGTAAATTATTTTTAAGAACACTCAAACCAACTTTTAAATACTTTGAATATATATTTTTTAAAATAGGTCAATTTGTTTTTAAAAACAAAATTTCAAAAAATTTTAGATTAAACAAATATATTTTTAAAATAAAAAATAAATAAAAGTGAGACCAAATAAGTTCTTGATTATTAAAAAATTACTTCGTGTGATACCAAATGAATATTTTATCATGCAGATATAATCAGTAACTAAATTGAAGTTCCAATGTCATTCAAGAGCTAAGATTCCCTTCAAGTTGCTTTCTTGAGAACTACCTCCACAATAGATAAATGAAATATTCAACTTGTACAATTGTTAGGATAGAAGAGAGACCTGCCTTTAGCACTACAAGAAAACAAAAACATCATTTTTATTACTTTCCATTCAAATTATCAGCATCCAAACAGGCCTAATCTCTATACTGATGAGAGGCTAAATATTTACAACTAGGCATTACAAGCACGTGGAATATCACGTATTCTGAAGTTAAAAAATCTAGTAGCTCACCAGTCACAAATTAAAAATGTGATCATTTGGATCAAAAATAGAAGTGCTGAACTGTCTTGTATTCAAATCACCACCATCAAGAGCTGAGCTAAACCGATCGAGCCACTGGGTTGGAGCAGGGTTTTCAGTTTCTTCCACCCACTCTGAAGTCATATCAATGTCATCAAGCATAATTGGATCAACATCTGAAGACCTAGCTTTTGTCTTGAGCTTCAGATTATAGTGAACATACAAAAGATCATTCAACGTCTCTTTGTCGAGTTTGTTGCGCTTCTCGGAGTGGATCTGTTGAACAGTGCTCCAGTTTCTATCAAATATTAAAGCACTGCACACTTGGTTAAGTATTCTGACTGCCACCCTTTGTAAACTAGGTGATGAATCACCATATTGTTCCCACCACATCCCTGTGCATGTTGGAATTATATCATGCTAAGGATTCAACAAATATATATCAAAAGTAGAGTGAACATACCAGGTGCACTGTTATTGCGCGCCTCTTTAGCTAGATTTGAACCAAACATCCCTTGTGCTTTCCTGAAAATACAGATCTGTGAAGTGAGATCGTGTCGGAGTTCAGGGGTTGGTAGTAGCTTCTCGAGGACGGCAAAAAATTCTTCTTTGATAATCCCGAGAAATTTAACTTCGGGATTGTATTGGATGCTGGGATTTAAAAATGCGGCGGCAGCATGAAGTGGTGAATGGAGCTGACTCTGCCATCTTCTGTCTACTATGTCAAGGAATGTTTTGCACTTAACTTCATCCATTATGTAGTAAGTCCTAATGGATTCCTTGGCCCTGGTCATGGATTCATATATGGATCCAACTGCAGGCTTCCCACCAGAAACATCTCTCAAAACTTTCAGAAGCGGTTCAGACACACTTGCAATCTCTTCTACTGCTCTCCAGAACTCAATGTCTTCAAGAATATCAATGCAGGACAAACTAATAGTTCTGTTTGCGTATGATGAGGTCAAATACTCAGGGTTGCTGAACATGTGCTTCAATCTTGTTTTCTGTCTCAGCATTGATTGTAAGGTGAGAAAATTAGATGTGGATTTGGTGATACCACAGCGAACAAGCTCCTGATTTCCAGTGAATTTTTTCATTAACTCGAGAACCCAGGTGTGGTTATAGATGAACCTTGTTACAGTTTGTGCCTGTAGAATGCATCTGTTCACCCAATCAATTCTGGAGAAGTCTTCCAAGATGAGATTCAAGCAGTTGGAAGCACATGGAGACCAAAATATCGAAGCATAAGACTGCATTATGTGATTTCCTACACCAATATAATTCAAAGAATTGTCCATAATCACTTGGACAACATTTTCATGGCCAAAATCCTGAATAACAGAATCGAATAGATCGCAGAGGCATCGAGTGTTCTTAAAGTACGTGGAGGCATCAACAGATTTATGGAAGAACGTTCCCAGCGGATATGACACGTAGAAATTTATCAATGCTCTCGATTTGTTATCTGTCCATGTATCCGCTATGATTGTACAGCCAGTAGCAGCCCAATCTTTCTCAATGTCTTTTATATGCAAGGTGATTTCAGATTTAAGCTTCTGCAACCAGGTGGTTCTCAAAGCATCAACCGTAGGACCTCTAAATCCGGGGCCACCAAGAGCCTCAAGCATAAGGTGATATGAAGATGAATGAGCAACACGGAAATCTAGCTTATTTTCGAAAAAAAACTCAGCTATGCATCGCTCGACATCCACGGGGGACTGGGGCCTGGCCATCATGCCAGAAGGAAAGAGTTTTCCCATAGTGTTTGTGGCATCCATGGACACAAGCATCTTTGAACTGGATAAGATTCCTGATGACTTGGCTTCACCAAGTCGTTGCTTTTTGGCAGTGGCAGCTTCCTTTCCCTCCTCTTTCATTGCTATGATAGCCTTCACCTTATCGGTGACCTCATCTCTCACCTTGCTGCATGGATGAACACCTTTGCTAGGAAGCCGGGACAGATGAAACTTCAATCTACTAATGCCGCCGTTCAAAATTTTTAAGCAAAATTTGCATCTAACCTTATTGCCGTCTAACCTTTCACAATATTCCCAGCATGCATCTTTCTCTCTAACCACTGCAACAATAAATATGAGATTGTGGGTTCATTTTAGGTACCATAGAAGCCAAAATGTTAAAATATGAATTACCATGTAGAATAACAAGTAGACACGCAGGCCTTTACAAAGCCACCTTCCAAGAAAAAAAAAAAGCAGAACTTACAAATAAATCAATAATTAGAAAAAAGTGTGATTATAAAACCTTAATGAGACCACTTTGGCCTTCATTATTGGTGACCATATGAGTCCATAGAATAAACATCTAGTTGAAAGTAATAACGTCTACAGTAGATAATTTCAGGTTTGACAAATTTAAATATAAAATGTTTGATTACATGGACATTGAAGATAGCTAAAGGCAACCTCAAAGATATCAAAAGTACATAATTGGAACACGTGAAATTTTTTTAAGGTCATTTGAGACTTCGGTTGCTTAGTTACGTAACATGCATTTTGATTACCCCTTTTACTCAAGCTCATAACGGAATCCCAAATTAGTAAATATCCTAAAATGTTCAATTACAATTAAGATTCTAAATATCTTATGGTGGAATAATCTCTCCTAAGAAAATTCATATGTAAATTTGATTAATATGACATCTTTTCCTATATTATATTAATGAAAGCTTTTTAGTTATCAAATGTATAACTACTTTATAAATGCAAAATTAGCTTCTAATTTCATCGCCATTGACTGTGGAAATTTTGATATGCAAAAAAATATTTTATATGTTATATATCTTATATATTCATCAAAATGCAGAAAAAAAAAAGAATATCAAAACTTCACCTTATTTAAAAACTATGATATCCATATCTCCTCCCATGCATGGGCACTTCCAACATCATGTCGAACTCACTCCACGAGCACTTTCCAGAGTTTGATATGACAACAAAGCCCAATCTGAAGTAGAACTTGCTAAACACCAAGAAATCTATTTGTTACTCTCCCGCAGCCTTCCAAAACGATTTTAAATAAATGTATATTGGGTTTTCAGATTCCTAATAAAGAGATCAAAAGACCTATATATGAATGAAAACTTGTGAGATTAAAGCCTAATGCTTGGAAGTCCTCTCTTGCAAAACTTTCAATCATTCTTAAGGGATTTAAACATCCTTCCAATGGATTAAGAGTTCAAAGATAAATCACTTGCAAACTATAAGATGGTACAATCAAGTAAGTATTAAAAAATTACTTCATTTTAATTTTCTCATAGACATATTTTATTATATTGATTTGTGTTTTATATTCCGTCACACTTTGCCATGAATGGAAACGCATTGGGTGAAATAATTTTCTTAACCAGAAATGAAAGAGTAGAGCATGTGGCTTTAAACTCGATAGTGGATTCCTGCTCTAGGGAAGGGGACTAGGGATAGGTTTTGTAAATATTTTTTCCCTTGAACGATATTTTAGATTTTCTATACTTGCACATTGATTATAAGAATTGCATAGGTGAGTTTTTCTAAGTTAATTCATGTGCTAAGTCACTTATCCTCTTGCGTTGAGTTAATCCATTTCACTGACCTCCATAGTGATAAACTCACACCCTTGGAATGAAATTATGCATTAACAACATAATTATTCATGACGGCAATAGTACTTTTTTTTGTGTTTGGTTGATCCAATAAATTACAACCTTGTGTGATAGTGTTAATCCCTTAATATATAGCTTATTTGATTCAACACTCAAAATTAACTTAATCATTCACTTTAACATCATTGCACATTTGTGTTGGTTTATTTGTAGGGATGATTAAATTGCAAACTTGTGTAGTTGTGCATCACTTCATTTATATTGCGTTTAATCTTGATTACGAGAATCTTGGTTTGTCACATCTTGTGTAACTTATCAACTACACATCTACAATACTTTTGTATCTCTTTAGTTTATAATGGTTAAATTACTTCAGCATCTGTATTAAATTATAAATATTTTATATTGGAAAAGGACTTCAAGAGAAATTTTAAAGCCCCTCCTAAACCTTCCTATTTAATGCAATTTCCATATCTTAATTTCAAAAAAACATTATTATTAAAATATTTTAAAATTTAAAAACCAATAAGAAATTTCCAGATGTTTTCACTAATGTGTTTAATATTGATTATAAAATAAGCAAAAAGGAAAAATAAATGCGGAAGGAGGATGTCATAGCACTCAATAAAAAATTACAATGACAAGAGAAAAAGAAAATGCTATGGGCAAGAAAACAATGAAGAAAATCCTTGTTCCACCTGTAAATAAAAATGAAAATGAAAATGAAAGAAAGGCAACGCTAACACAAATTTAAGTATAATAGTTGGCTCAGAAGAGAATAATAAGGTAAAAGATATTTCTTTTAAGGAACTTTCAATTACTGTTAAAAATAAAAAAATGATCATATTAAATTTAAAAGAGTATTCTTGTTGTAAAAAAGAAAGAAGGTATTTTAATAAAGAAAATGTCTTAGTCAAGCATGACATATTGTTTTAAAAGATAAATTAGATTCAAGTTCAATGTGTGCAAGTGAGAATTAAACATTTTTAAAATAGATTTAATGATTTACCGTTTCATAGTTGATTTTCATTAATTATAATTGTATGTTTAAAAAATGAAATTGCAATCCTTCAAACTGAAATGAATGAATTATTATCATCTGCCAGATCTATATATTATAATCATGATTTAGATTCTTTACACATTTAACCATTCAAGTATGTTTACTAGTTTTGATTTTTGCTTTAGTTCATACTTTTACCTAGAATAATTTGGGTTAGTTAAAGTTTGGGGATCAATCACGCGCACAATTTGTTTAACCCCATGAGCCTTCAGCCCTTCACTAATAGCTATTGCTTATATTTTTTAAAGTAATAATGTCTATACGAAGTGATTTTAATGGGACTTTGCATGAATTTTGCTTCATAATGCTAGATTGTTTATAGATTGAAGAAACTAAGAACAGGCTCAAAGATATCAAGGGTACATCAATTGGAGCCAAATAAGACTTTCTAATGATTTTTGAGCCATTAGTTTGTTAGTTATGTAACTTGCATTTTGATAGCAACTTTTGGCTAAAGTTTTCAATGAAAACTTAATTGCAAATATCCTAAAATACAAAAAAAAATAAATAAAATTCTATGTATATCTAATGAATTAGCTAAATAAGATTACGTAAAAATTTAAATCCACATTTGATCAACCAACTGGTTAATCTTGGCCGATATTATATTTAACATGTTTATTAAGTCATTAAGCATATATGCATACATATACATAGATATATATATAATATATTACGTAAAAATTTAAATCCACATTTGATCAACC